CAATAAGGTAATAACTGGCCAATAATGTAACATTTCCTGAACCAATAAGGTAATAACTGGCCAATAATGTAACATTTCCTGAACCAATAAGGTAATAACTGGCCAATAATGTAACATTTCCTGAATCAACAAGGTAATAACTTGTTACAATTTCCACAAAAAGTAATTACATTATTGGCTGCAAGCGTATTAGTGATGGTGAGCTGGAGGATCAATGCCCAGCGCATTCACCTGTGTGCACAAGTACACGTGTGTGCTGTTTGTGGACTGTCAAAGGAAGGGGATCTGGGCACATGAACTGGTGTACATGAGAATGCTCAGCTGGATGCAGTTTGTTCAGAACGGTTTGTTTGCCTGTGTGTGTGTGTGTGTGTGTGTGTGTTTTACGCCGCTGCTTTGCGTCAGAGCGTAGATCTCACTGATGTTCCCCTCATACGGCTCCTCCAGCAGGAAAGGCTGCAGCGTTCCAGCCGTCTTCTCCACCAGACGGTCGATCACATCGTGCAGAGTGGCACAGGGAATCTGCCGGAGAGGAGGAGCAGAGGTGGCCGGTGAGGGACGCTCACGCACATCCCTTCGTCTAATGTTCATCACAAAGCAGGGATAGAAATAAACGTGTCATGCATTTAAACCCAAAGGCCTTTATCTAAACACTGGGGATAAATACAGATGCTCCTCGACTTACAAAGGGGCTACGTTCCGATGACTCTGTCATAAGTGGAAAATTTCACAAGCCGAATACGAATACGACATGAGAAATAAGTAAATAAAAAAATTACTGTCACTGAATAAGTAAATAATTAATTACTGCAAGTAATTAACAGTAATTGAAGAGTAAATAAATGTATACTTATTTGGTTAAACAGGGAAAAAAAACTGTTTGCTAAACAGTGTACGAGAGCTTTACGCTCACGATCGCTACAGAGACTGGAATCGGGGCTGGCTGGATGGCGCCATTACCTGGCATTAACGGAAAGTATCGTACGCCGTATAGCTAACCCGGGGACAGATCGAAATTCCAAGCTGACTTCAAAATGCACCTCGCTATTGCACCATTGTAACATTTCGCCAGTCGAACCATCATAAAGCGAGGAGCATCTGCGTCACGCAGAACATTAAAGAGACAAACTGCACAGTTTAGATTTTCCACTTGCAGATTATCCACTACGACGAATGTAAGATGAACAGCACTTTAAAGCACCACTTAAGATAAGCTTTTGGAACGACCCTCGAAAACAATCTCGGTCATTTCCGTGCAGTAATGAGGCATGCCAAAAAGTGTGCCAGGATGCTGTAAAATGATTATCGCATGAATAGACAAACATCAAATGTTCTTCTCACCATATTTTAAGTAAGAAATTTACAAATTTACTGTATTGTAGGCAAGGGCTATGGATTGAACATTGGGGGGTTAAGGTCCCATCCATTCACCATGACAATATCATTATTTGGGGGGGGGCTTGTATTGGCCTGTTATGATTATTGAGGGGGTCCCAACCCCCTCATAATTTATGCCCATAACTGTAGGTGCACTTAAGCAGCACTGGATGGGCGGAAAGGCAGCAAGATGCTTCCCTGTGAATGGATGAGCCCCCCCCCCCCCCCCACACACACACACACACACACACACACACACACTCACAGAAACTACTTACTGGATTCTCCACTTCAATTAAATATCCGCCATCTTGTTTCTGCGTAACTCGATAGTGTCTGAAAACTGACCTGGACAGGATGGAGAACATACTTCAGCCGTAACAGGTTAATCTGATACCTGTAAGAGTCCCTTCCTGTAATCAGTCTTCTCTGGACTGTAATAATTAATGCAGGCGGCTGGTGATAGGACCAAGACCGGCGGGGGGGGTTACCCGTGGAGGTCCTGGCGGGTGGTGATGGCCAGGGACGAGCCGTCCCTCCCCGGCCGGAGCAGAAGGTTCCCGCAGTCCGGGTGTCTCTCCAGAAGCACTTCTGCTTCCGTCCTGGACACAGCCTGGAAGCACCTGCAGCAAAGCCACACGCAGATCATGCGCCACAGCCTCCGGCACTCCTGCATGCGGCTTCCCGCACAGGTGTCAACACGCTTCACTTTCACTTATTCACTTCACTTTCACGCTTCACTTTCACTTATTATTCACGTCACTTTCACGCTTCACTTTCACTTGTTGGGGACTTCAGTATTACATCAGGTGGTGTGTTTAAGCATATATGAAAAATCCCTGTCAGTACTGGCTATAAGGCAAAATAAATCTTCCGTTATGTGTGATACAATGTTGAAGCATGGATTTGAATGACGACATTGCATATCCCAAATATTCTTACTTACATAACTGAAAAGTGTACTCTGTTAAGGTGTAAATTACGGGTCGACACCAAGATGACTTTTGATAGACATTTTGTAACTGTACGCAGTTATTGCCGACCACTGTGATTTTTTCTTATGTATTTTTTGGTCCATTTTAAATCTACCTCCAGTACAAAACTGCCGTACCCATAAAACAGAAAACTAAATAAGCAGGAACTGGAAGCAGCTTTTTTATTCATCAGCGCTGCCTTCAACATTAAATAAAATAAACGCTTTATTTCACACATTCTTTCTTTCACGCTGAACCCTGGCCAATAGCATTAGCCTTTTTCCTGGCGTGTGCTTCAGGCTTGGGGTGTGGAAACGCTTTCACTCCTTCGTCTGCCATCTTCATGACTTGCCAACGAGCTGAGAAAACGGTCTCCCATTTCCCCTGCTCAGTCAGCAGGGGGCTAAACTCACGCGGGTATTTCCCCCACTAGGGGGAGGTAGAGAGGGACGGCTGGGGCAGGGTGGGTTGGCGGTGGCTTGCGTCTTCGCCTCTCCCTTTCTCGTTCCACTACCTCCTTCAGCATGTAAAGTTGACCTGGAAGCAGGTTTAAGGAGCTGGGCACAGACAACTGGGAAGAGGAGAGAACCAGCGAGAGCTTCGGAACCACCTTCAAGGTTAAACCTCACGCAACACAAACAAATTACACTGTCATGGCATGCAGAGTGCGCCATATGCTCTCTGCGATGGGCTCCAGGCAGCCCGGCGACCTTGACCAAAATAAGCAATTAGACTATGGAAAGGCGGAAAACATGCCAAGCCTACAGGTGCCTCTGTTGTCTTTGAACAACAGCTCCAGTAAACATAAAAAACAAACTAGGTGATACTTCACTATGGTCTGAGCCCAGAAGGGACAGTCTCCATTAATGTTTCGATACTATTAAATATGGTTAGGAAAAGTGGTAACACTTAATTTAAAGCTGTCATCTATAATGCCAATAGATACCTTCATAACAGATTACAAGGTACCTTCCAATAACATCAATATGCATATTATTATGAGCAAATTAGTCTTATGAGCAATGAATGTTTTATTAAATAATATATCTCGACAAATCCAGTTTCATCAGCGGTTTTTAAAAAAAGAAAATTAACTTTTATCTATTATATAATTTACTTTCATCTTCAAGATTAATGCCAAGCTGCATTCATACAATGAATGGAAATATGGTGATACTTTGCTTAAAGCTCTCATCTATAATGCACTGTAGATGCCTTCATAATGCATTACAATGGTCAGTATAAGAATTAATAAAACGTTACAGCATCTTCTATTGGCAGTCATAAGGAATTATAATGTTGATTATAATACTTCATAAGCTCCAATGAAGCTCTCGTCTATAATGCACCATAGATACCTTCATGATGCATTATAATGGTTGCTATAAGAATTAATAAAGCATTACAGCATCTTTATGCACCATTATGAAGGTATTTATAGTACATCATAGATGAGAGCTTCATAAAGCATTCATAATGCATAATAAACATGGCTATAATGTGTTATGCCTTTTTATAAATATAGATGTTTATAATGCTTAATGAATGCATTATAATGTGTCATGAATATGTTCATAGATTCTTACAGAATTGCATTCATAGAAATGCCCAGGAAGTAACTCAGAAAGCAGGCAGGGTCTTAATGTTAACATTACTAACCTCCACCACAGAGTAGATGAAGCCCTTCCACAGCTCACGGGCCTCCAGACTGGGAGCCTGGGTGGGGGTGCAAAAAGTCACACCTTAGAGGGCTGCGGTAACACAGCTATGCTGCGACACTCTCTCACGCTACTGTACTGCAGAACGCGGACGTGTCCTAACAAACCAGGAGCAGCCTGGTGACCTCAGCACGCCCCCCCCCCCAGCACCCTCACCGTCAGCGTGGCCTCCCCGCTCCGCAGACGCAGGGTCAGCCTCGCTGCCTCCAGATTTCGGCCTCTGCTGTCATCATCCGTCAGGGAAATGAAACCACTCAGGTCGAGTTTCTCTGCATACTGTTTGTGCGACAGACAGACAGACAGACAGACAGACAGACGCCCAGTGGGGAGATGCTTAGTTTGTTTGCTTACAGTAATAACACAGAGACTGACACAGACACAAAAGTTTGTGTGTGTTGTGTTACGCTGCTGGCTTGTTTGAGTGTGAGGGTCTCACTGATGTTTGTGTGTATGTGTGTGTATGTGTGTGTATGTGTGTGAGAGAGACACAAACACAAAGGTTTGTAGGGATCTTTAAGCTCCTGGTCCTTGTCAATGTTACCAGAGCATCTCCATCACTTTCATCACAGACAGGCTCAGCTGACACTCACAGAACTGTCCTTGGTGCTGTTAAAGAAGTACAGAGTGTTGCCACACAGGCAGGTCCACAGCCGCTGCGACACCTGTGCACACAGAGAGAAACGATACATCACAGCAACAAATCTCCCAGTGAAGCATACTGACACAGCTCTGCCATGTTATTCCGTACCACTGCATGTCCGAAGTCTGACTTCATATATATTGCGCTGTTTCTTGTGCAGGGAGGCGCAGTGGTGTGGAGGTCAGCACTGTCACCTCACACCTCTGGAACCCGGGTTCGAGTCTCCACCTGGTTTCTGTGTGTGTGGAGTTTGCATATTCGCCCCGTGTCATCGTGGGGTTTCTTCCAGATACTCTGGTACCCCCCCCCCCCCACAGTCCAAAAACATGCTGAGGGAAGACTGGAGTTACCAAATTGGCTGTGAGTGTGGTCTGTGAATGTGGTCTGTGATGGGTTGGCACCCATCCTGGGTTGTTATCTGCCTTATGGCCATAACCTCCAGGATAGGCTCTGGACCCCTGGTGACCCTGCTTAGGACAAGCAGTTACAGAAATTCGATGGATGTTCGTTGTGTAAATAAATGTCTTTAAAGCAGCGTAGTTTTCATATTTACTTTTGGTGAACAGAATTTATTTAAAAAGTATAGAAATATGGTTTGGTGACATCGCCAGATGTCAATGAGGTACTCCATGTCAGAGAGGGAAAAGGCCATTAATATCAAGCTAAAGGGGGGGGGGGGGGTTGAAATGCAGCCCCCCTGGGACCATTTCTATGAGGATTGATTGGGAGATGAGCAGCTGAGTTGCATCGTACCTCATCTGGGACATGAAGTCCAAACTCATTACAAGTGTCACACCCACTACCCACCCTAATTACAAATGTTCAGTTAATTGCTCCTCCCTGTCCCTCTCTCTACAGCCACCCATCCACCGTACGGAATGGTCCAGACCGGGACAGATGGTCCATTGTGTCCCGAGACAGCGAGCAAACTCCGATCGCAGCAGCTGAGCAGCGCATTGTGCAGCGAGCAGCTGTACACACGGCTATTCCCTCCCGTCCGCCTGAGCAGCCTCTTATTCAGGAGAGGACGCCAATGGCATGTAATTAAATACACCGGCATTGTTTCCCACACATCGACACACCCCACTTCGGAATACAAGATAAAAAAATATACAATATGCCGTATATCCATATTTACGTGAAAGGGAGCATTGATAAATAGTTAAGATATAGCCAGTTTCCTGTATTTCAGAAGCGAATACTAATTGCGATCTAGGAATCTGTTTCCTACCGTAACGCGTCAAAAGCACGCAGGCAGGGCCTAGGTATGCTTTATAAGATGCCGCATCTCTCCGTGATTATTTTGCCAGACGTGTATTAAACTCTACCTGTCCCTCGGTAGTTGGCCATTTGAACATCAGTAGATTGCAAGAATGTGCAACCACCAGAATATTGAAATATCTAGGTTTAAATTAACTGACAGACACCGAGTATTAATCAATTCATACTTTGACATTTACGCTCGGTGTTGCTTGTCACTCTACACTATACAGTGAATGACAAACCTCATGATTTGGTAGGAAAGGAAATCAACTCTAGATGGAGCATGAGGTCCTGGGGCGCTGCAAAGTAATTCCCGGGCAGCTTTATAGGTCATATCAGACAATCTATAAGTACAGTACAGTACATATAAAGACGGAATAACTTGCAAAACCTCCTCCTGGTCCGCACTGACTCCCCTCGTAATTTTCTGCTTTAGCATCAGACTGTTCGTTTGAAGCTACAGTAATTGTTCTATTAGTCAGAATTCATAGTTATTTACGGAATCAAAATACAGGGGAAAAAACTCGGGGTTAACTTAAGGTCTTTGGACGTGGGAGGATTGGAAATGAGTCGTATGCTTCCTTAGCTGGACAGTCTTGCGCGAATAACACTTATGACTAATAATGACATTAATTGCACGCCTGATTCTCACTAGAGGTGTCTGGAGTAAATTTCCTTGCATTGTGGTTCGCACGGTGTTTGCAGTCAGTTACCACGTCTGTCATAACGCGATCTTGCGGAGGACAGGGAAGGTGTATGAAGGGATTTGATGTCTGGATTAATTCATGCAAAATTAATTCAAGACAATTTGGTAGCGAGGAGTTCTCCGACAATACGGTGAACGGATCTTCTTGGATGGAAGTGACTGGCGTAATGGCAGAGGCGTGTGGTCCGTACCTTTTCTTTGTGTGCCCTCTTCTCCAGGTACCCCTCGTAGTAGCAAGGCGGCAGCTGTGCTCTGGTCCGCCCGGATCGCTGCTTTGAAGGCGGAGACGCCATGAGGGTCGTAAGCTAGCAGCGGTGGGACAAAGAGGAGCAGTGACAAGTGTGTCTCATAGATAACAATTCATCGGGAAACCACGCACATTCGTGCAATTAAATGCAATGCATTTCTCCTCTCTCCCAATTCCACATGTCGCCGTATGCATGCTTTACAGGAAAAGTTAATCACAGAATAATTAACAATTGTGCATAATCCAGAAAAGCTGCATTTATTGCCAGTGCATGCGTTAAATGAACTGGCAGGGAATGCTGTAGCGTGATTTCCAGCCAGACGGATCCACGGCGAAGACAATCTGCGGCGTCTTGCCTTTCAGTTGTGTTTTAATGAATGGTGATGCCGCAATCTGGAAGTGTTCCAATTATAAATCTAAACCGGGATTTTTTCACTGCTCGGGGGTCGCTCCTCGCCGGTGGTGGTCTTCATGCCGATCGAAGGTGCCAGGAGAATTTTTCGAAAAGCTGGCAATAAGATTATTGTTTAAGATGTAGTAATCTGAGCGGCTCGGGGATCCGTCACTCTCGGCTGGTGTTTGCGGGAACCTCACGCCCACAGTAATAGGTGATTGGCCACTCTGGGCTACGGTAAAGGCGTCCCCGCCACCAGGCTGTTGCATTCTATACAGTAATTTGCCTATTTTTAATGCTAATATGCGAAAAAGCTTTATAAATAAAAAAAGTGTACCATCTATAAGTCATAGTAATGCAATTATACAAATACACACATATACACACAGCAGTTCCAATGGTTCTGGGGAAAATACCAGATGTGCTTAACGAATACAACTTTAATGACAGGATTATCTGTTTTATCATCATATTAATGCAGGAACCTGTTTGAAAAGAAGATGATGATGATGGTGTGTGTGTGTGTGTGTTATTTTGTCCGCCTCATGGCGGCGCTACAACTGAGGGCTAGCAAATTGTGAGGGCAGGTCTGTATGTGCACCAGTTACGAGAGTTTCAGGATCTGAGTAGCAATTGAGTTTAGATCTCCGTGTGAAATAGTAGGTCAACTTATTTATTGATTACCTCGGAGTTATGGTAAATATTCCAGAAGTCAATTGGGGAAAGACAATATACAAATATTAAAATTAAATTAAAATGATTACGTAAAATATTACCTAAACTAGGCCTATGTGTAAGAAATCAGTGGAAATCAAATATATTTAGATATTAAATTGCTAAACTGGCATCCATGGGTATTTAGAGAGAATATATGTCTTTGTAGGTTCTCAGTCATCCAGGACATGATAATCTTAAGGACTGGAATCGAAGGCAACTGGATTGAAGAAGTCTTTTGGATGAGAGGTGAAATGTTTTCAGGAAATTGGAAAAAAGAAATCCAGTTGCCTTCAATTAAAACCCTTAAGATTATTTAGAAAGAAGTAGTACTGATTCTATTAATATTGTTACTATTTCTTATTTAATTCTCCTGCAAACTTTTCTTTTTTTGCATTGAGAAAGAGAGTCATGGTCGTTCAAACAAAGGTTCTCCAAAAGGACAAATGATTGATGAAGATTGTGTAATGACGGGGACAGCGATGCTTGAAGTCACACAGCAAAATTCGTCAGAGACGGGAGACAGCAAAGCAGTGAAAGAGCAAAACACTCAGGACTGGGGGCTTTGCAAAGAGCTACATTGTTCGATGAAATGGAACCGGACTCATTCGGGTAATGGGTATGAAATGGCTACACTAGAAGACCCAGCTTGCGCTTTGTGAAACAGTGATTTCAACTTACCGTTCCACCACCAAATACAGGTCATAGAGGACAAACACTTTGTAGTTGGGAAAAAAAATATCCATCCATCCATCTTATAAGCACTCATCCTGGCCAGGGGTCACTGAGAAACCAGAATATGCTGGTGATAAAATTTCTCTCTCCTGAAATCACTGATCATTTTCAAACGATGCAGTTCAATTACTGCACAATTGCTTTAATAATTTATGTAAAACTTAACTGTAATACAGGGTCGCCAACTATCACGCGTCTGGTGTGACACTCATGCTTTCAGACTCTCACGCAAGAAATCTTAGGGCAAATCTACGTCATTCCATTATAAACCTAAAATTAGCTGCATCAAAAGCGTTGGGGTAGTTTGCAAACCCTACAGATTATTTACAAGGTATTAAAACAGTTACATACATGTAACTGCATATGCATGTACACTATATTGGCAAAAGTATTGGGACACCTGCCTTTACACACGTGACCTTAAAAGACACGCCATTCCTAATACATTGACCATTCTTCCTGGAGAGCATTTGTGAGGTCCGGCACTGATGTGGGACGAGAAGGCCTGGCTCACAGCCTCCGCTCTAATTCATCCCAAAGGTGTTCTATCGGGTTGAGGTCAGGACTCTGTGCAGGCCAGTCAAGTTCCTCCACAACAGACTTGCTCATCCATGTCCTTATGGACCTTGCTTTGTGCACTAGTCTGCAGTCATGTTGGAACAGGAAGGGGCCAAACTGTTCCCACAAAGTTGGGAGCATGAAATTGTCCAAAATGGCTTTGAATGCTGCAGCATTAAGTTCCTTTCACTGGAACTAACCCATGAAAAGTAGCCCCACACCATAATCCCCCTCCACCAAATTTTACACTTGGCACAATGCGATCAGGCAAGTACCATTCTCCTGGCAACCACCAAACGCAGACTCATCCATTGGATTGTCAGAGAAGCGTGATTCGTCACGCGAGAGAACACGTCTCCACTGCTCTAGAGTCCAGTGGCAGTGTGCTTTACACCACTGCACTTTGCATTGCCTTAAATGCAGCTGCTCGGCCATAGAAACTCATTCCATGAAGGTCTCCGCGCACTGTTCTTGAGCTAATCTGAAGGCCACATGAAGTTTGAAGGTCTGTAGCTATTGACTCTGGTAATATCTAATCTGTATCCTGATTAGGCTGATCATACTTGCTTTCTGCCTGAACTATTGTTTGGGTGACCTTTTGAGACCCTGATGTATTTCGCTACCCACACCACAAACCATCTTATCTCCCCACGTCAGCCATTTCACTATAAGAAGAAAATCGGATAATATACTGCGTAGCTGTGACAGGTACAGCTATGTGAACGTTATTTTTTAGCTGCCGTGAAGCTGAACGGCGTTCCCCCTGAACTCGCTGTCTTCTCTCCAGTTCTGCAGGCTTCCCACCAGCCTGCTCATCGTTGTGACGAGGGGCAATTTCCAGAAAAATGACATGGGCGCCCAGGCTGCATCCGATCCAAGACAGAAAAGCACTAAGTACATGGTTTTGGGGGAAGCGAGGAGCTGACGTTACAAATCGCTGCCGGTATCAGTCAGTGTCACAGTGCACCCTTACCTCACCATGCAGCGTTGTGAATTCCACCCATTCGAGGCAATTCCACTTGTAAGGGCCCCTTGATTTATGTGGGAGTTGCTTTCTACTAACAAATGCACATTCGAAATTTTGGATATTCGCATATTTTATACACCTTTCAATGAAAGTGTTAAAGTGGTATAACACTGCAATTTGTGACATCTTATGCTTGCATAAAAAGAGAACCCACTATATTTAAGTCTGCTGACATTTAAGTAGTACTGTTGGGCGGCACAGTGGATCGCACTGTTGCCTCATGCCTACACAAGTGGGGGGTTTCCTGTGTTACATGGGCTTTGTCTGGGCTCTCTGATCACATGCTGTAGACCAAAGAGATCCCATCCAGGGTACTACCCTGCCTATGGCTCCATCCTTGCCTAGGCTGGACTCCAAGCCATCAGATCCATGATCCATTAGAGGGTTAGGGATTAGAAAATGCATGAATGAAGTCACCAAGTACCTGGTAACAAACATCACGCATGCCCACGTCAGATGGTCCACTCAGGATACTGAATGGATACGTTTTCTACCCAGACACCACATGACCAGTCCTTCTCTTTCTTCTGAGAATCTAACAAAATACAATGAAGACTTATTAATTCATTCAGAGGGAACAAGGGTGAGAAATAAACAGATTTAATATTTTTCAACAGTTTTTACTTATGGAAGACAGACGAGACAATATCTTAATTTTATAATAAAAAACAAGATTATGCATAACAAGGAAAAATTCAATTATTGGTCACATAGGCACATTTTCCATTAAAAAGCATAATTTGAAAGGTACAAACATACATGCAGAATGGAAGGAACTTTTATATAAGATTTTACAATATGATTTTGGTATATTAATACTATTGTAACAAAATGTTTTTGTTTTTTTTTAATATCAAATGGTTCTGATACTCTTGTTGAGTTACATGTTGACCATACATAGAAAATCCTTAGTTAAGAAGCGTAGTGTAACAAAAGTAAACAGACAGAGAATGAAACTGTCTCACTCTGAGGACACCGACAACCCAGTCAGCTGTTAAGGTGTCACTAAGGCCCCCTTTCTGATCGCCAACCATCACGCCATCATAGAAACGCATCCTAGTACCAGCAGATACCCCCAGACCGACGCCGTCGCAGGGACAGTCTTGGGCTTACCGACTGCCTGCTAATTCACGCCAAGGAACCACAAGGGGTTGTCCCAATTAATTCTTTAGCACGGTTGCCATTTGGAGGTCCTCCTCAATCTCGAGTAGAAGAAACATGTAAACATGAAGTTGTAAACCAACGGCTCAAGTTTAAGATTCGAGGGGGATTAAGAGTTTTTTGTTTTTTTAAACAAAGCAAAGCACAGAAAAATTGGCACTGATGGGGGAAGGCGAGCACAGGACAGAAACAGGGTTCCACGCTTGTGGACCCTGGTCACATATCTGTTGCATGAAACCGCAGAAAACAGAGGGTTAGACGGGTGCGTTTAGCATGGCTTGTTTTTTTTTCTCCAACTGCTGCATGTAGCTTGGTGCCACGATCCAGCCCCATCTAATCACTCCCAGTCCTGCCTCTACACAGCCCCAGTAATTCTGCTGCCTGTGATCCAATGACATTCCCAGCAGGAGCGCTTTGCATATTAGCACTTACACAGTTATCGTCCTTTTGTACTCATCCACAGCTACAGCTTCACAGGAAATGTGTCCCAGTCAACCACAAAGTCAAGACATTCCTCCAGCTCTAGATTAAGGATACATGTCGCAGGGCAACCCCCCCAAGATAGACACCGCCAGCAGTGTCACCCGCCAAGGATGTGTTAGATCAGCGTGTAAAGGCACATAAAGCCAGTCATTTGCTCTTCCTGGCAGGAGTATCAAGCTCCATGCTTAACCACATGGTGGGAAAGAGGACTCCTTCCATCGCCTGGGTAGGAGATGGCAAACGAGTGGCTCAGCATGGATGTCGTGGGGTCTGCCAGAGGCGGAGGCTGCAGACCACCTCGACAAGGCACAGTGTAACCCTCACCCCACAGAGGCACTCAGGCAGACCCCAGTCTTATAGGTAACTTGTGAGATCTCAACTAGAACTGTGATGGCCAAGATCAATTGAGGGGAGGAAAAATATATCTGAACACGATACCCCCCTGTTCCCATGAAATGTTCTATTAGTGGTAACTAGCTCTTACTGGTGGGCGCTAACTAACCCCACGCAGTACAC